GGTCTTCAATCTTGTATATTGTATAATTATATGTATATTGCGTTTTTTGTTATAAAGTCAAAGTTAAAGCCATTATCAAAATGCATACAAGACCAAAATGAAAAAAAAATTATAACAAATATAATCTCTGTCCTGCCTTTTTATTTTTCACTCTATTCGGTCCTGCCTTTTTTTTTTTTTTTTAGTTTATCCTGACTTTTTTTTTACATAAATTGTCATCCTGCCTTTTTTTTTTGCAAAGTGTCTCGTCCGTCCTTTTTTTTAACTCAAAACTCCTGTCCTGCTTATTTTTATCCCCCCCCCCCCCCCCCCCACCCACATAAAAATCAAATGGTAGCTCCCTTACACCCAATTTGTCTGCGGTTCAAGCTAATTTGCAGTTATCAATGTCCATACACTACAAACCAGTAAAAGTCTGAAATGGCCTATATCTGTACTCGACTGTACTGATTTTTACTCGACCAGTCTGAATTGGTCTGAAATTTACTTGATAATACTCGACTGTAGTCTAAACCATACTTAACAGTTTGAACTTGTACTCGACCAGTACTTAACCATTTTAAACGCGTCTGAACCGTGCTCGACCTAGTCTGAACCATGCTCGACCTAGTCTGAACCATACTCGACCTAGTCTGAACCATACTCGACCAAGTCTTAACCAACCTAGACCTATTTTTTGTATCTATCTATTGTATTTCATCAATTTAGGAACTGTTTTTAACAACAGCTATTTCCCCTGGCTAGAAATTTGAACAACAATTTGAAATTAAAAATGTATTCAATATAGCATTAAAACCAAAATTTCACAATGAACATAATATAACTTCATCACCATATTCATCAACACTTATATACATACATATATATCACCTTTAAAATAAAAATAAAACAAGCTGATCAAATAATCTCAAAACTGAATTGTGACTAATATTTTCAATGTTATTCAAAATTTTTTGAATGTTTCAGATATATTTTATGGTTACTACTGGACAATTTTCACCATTAACTTAAGCCTTGTATAGATTTATGGTGTCAGTCGAGTTAAGTTAATAATGCAGTGAACATTTTTTTTTATTAAAATATATATAAAATAGCATATAAAGTAACTTAATAAATTTTAAAAATGACACTTTTGTTTTGTTAAACCAAGAATTTAATATAATCATGATAATAGAACTTCCATAGTAATTATTCCTGTGATAACTTTTAAAAAAGGAAATGTGTTCCAAAGTTACAGTAAAAATTTATTTCAATTAAATTTATATAATTTTTGTCAAAATTAAAGACATGGCATACAAGAAGCACTTTGATAAGGTTTAATTGCCTCAGTACATGTGTATTTTACAGGTAAAAAGAAAGCCCTATTTTTCTTAAACTCGTGTATTACTTATCTAGTGAATTAAAAAAAGGCCTTGCGATTTAAGTTTCACAGGATGTTGCAAATTTGAATGAATGTTAATCATGTTAATTAGAATTTAATACTCTCTGACCAGGTTGTGATCTTTTTAATGAGTTTGCCCCAAGCAGGAGGTATTACTTTATACTTCACCACTAATCAGAAGAAAAATTTTATTAATTTCTTTAATTTTTATCCCTTTTTGATATATATTGTATATAATATATCCCAAATCATAATAATAGATGTATTTCTAAAATAAGGTTAAACAATTTCAGTGATTTTGTTGGCTGTTGTTACCTCATTAAAAAGATAATTATATAACTATTGTACATTTTTTATATGTAACCATGAAACCTATGTAGTTTTTATTTAGGAATTAAGGAAAATTAATTTAAAAAAAAAACATGCCAAACAAGAAGCATCTTAATAAGGTTTAATTACCCTCAGTATAGGTGTGGTTTTTAGGTAAAAGAAAATCTTTTTTTAACAAAACTCTAAAATTTTAAAATGAATATAATTAAATTATTATATAAGATAATTTGATTTAACTATCTCTATTCCATAAATCTGAGAATCATGTAAGAATGTAAAAATCTGTTTTTATAATATATCTTTATTTTATTGTGTCTGTTGTCATGTCAGTTAAAAAGAAATTTATTTTAACAGTTTGGTCCAGTATGGTTCAGACTGGTCGAGTATTGTTCAGACCTTTGGTCGAGTATGGTTTAGACTGAATAAAATGCTTCGCTGGGGCGCAGCTTGATACGACCGCAGAGGTCGAACCCTGAACAGTTGGGGCAAGTATGGACACAACATTCAAGCTTGATAAAGCTCTGAATTTGGATTGTTATTAAATATTTGACACAGCATAGGTTTCTGACACAGAAAGAATGTGGTCTAAGAAATTTTTTTAATTTACCTATTATGGTCCAATGTCCAAAATCAAAATACATGGTTAGATTCAGCATATCAAAGAACCCCATATATTCAATTTTTGTTAAAATCAAACAAAGTTTAATTTTGGACCCCAACTTGGACAAACTTGAAAACTGGGCCCATAATCAAAAATCTAAACATATGTTTAGATTCAGCATATCAAAGAACCCCAAGAATTCAATTTTTGTTAAAATCAAACTAAGTTTAATTTTGGACCCTTTGGACCTCAATGAAGACCAATTTAAAAAACGGGACCCAAATTAAATATCTAAAAACACAGTTAGATTTGGCATATCAAAGAACCCCAATAATTTAATTTTTGATGAAATCAAACAAAGTTTAATTTTGGACCCTTTTGACCTCAATATGAACCAATTTGATAGCGAGGCCTACAAATAAAAAATCTAAATACATGGTTAGATTCAGCATATCAAAGAACCTCATATATTCAATTTTTGTTGAAATCAAACAAAGTTTAATTTTGGACCCCAATTTGGACCAACTTGAAAACTGGGCCCATAATCAAAAATCTAAATACATGTTTAGATTCAGCATATCAAAGAACCCCATATATTCAATTTTTGTTGAAATCAAACAAAGTTTAAATACTGGACCCTATCTTGGACCAACTTGAAAACTGGGCCCATAATCAAAAATCTAAACACATGTTTAAATTCAGCATATCAAAGAACCCCAAGAATTCAATTTTTGTTAAAATCAAACTAAGTTTAATTTTGGACCCTTTGGACCTTAATGTAGACCAATTTAAAAAACAGGACCCAAAATTAAAAATCTAAATACACGGTTAGATTTGGAATATCAAAGAGCCCCAATAATTCAATTTTAGATGAAATCAAACAAAGTTTAATTTTGGACCCTTTTGACCTCAATATGAACCAATTTGATAACGGGGTCCACAAATAAAAAATCTAAATACATGGTTAGATTCAGCATATCAAAGAACCCCATATATTCAATTTTTGTTGAAATCAAACAAAGTTTAATTTTGGACCCCAATTTGGACCAACTTGAAAACTGGGCCAAAAATCAAAAATCTAAATACATGTTTAGATTCAGCATATCAAAGAACCTCATATATTCAATTTTTGCTAAAATCAAACAAAGTTTAATTTTGGACCCTTTGGACCTTAATGTAGACTATTTTGAAAACTGGACCCAAAATTAAAAATCTAAATACACTGTTAGATTCGGCATAACAAATAAATATATGTGATCAAAGATTTTACAAATCTAATGTGCCATACTGTGCAATTAAAGATTACTTCTTGAAATTTTTCAATATTTGAAATTTGAAAAAAAAATAATATTTGAAGAATAATTCTTTTTAATTTCTGAAATCTGAAATGAGAAAAAATTGACCCCCCACAATTTCTTTTTATCCCCCCCCCCCCCCCCATTTTTTCCCCAAAAAATTCTTTCCCTCAAGATATGGTCATAATCTCAATTCAAATTTCCAATGGAGTTGGCAACCATAATTATCCATTTAATTTTACCATAGTGCTAACTTAATCTATTTTATAAAAGAATTAAAAATATAGTGTCAAATCTTTCATATAGATTTTTTTGTAAAATAAAATGATGCAACATTTGCAGATATTTTTACTGGTCTTCCTTTATAAATATGCATTTCTTTAAACATAATTTAAAAGCAGTGTAAGGGAAGTAACCAAAACGTTGTATTTGGATTACCTCCCTTACACTGTTTTAAATTATCTTTATTGTTCATTAACCATTACTTTATACATAATTTAAAAGCAGTGTAAGGGAGATAATTTCAATGATGTATTTGATTTATCTCCCTTACACTGCTTTAAATTATGTTTTGTACTAAAGTATTTGTCCATTAACCAGGACAACCTTGTTTTTCCCCCTTTTTTGCCCCTAATTCCTAAACGGTTTGAGCCATAACCCCCCAAAGCAAATCCTAACCATCCCTTTGTGGTATGGAAACTTGTAGTATAATTTCAGAGAGATCCATACACTGTTCCAAAGTTATTGTCTGGAAACTAGAAAATGCTTATTTTTGGCCCCTTTTTGGCCCCTAATTCCTTAACTGTTGGTACCATAACCCCCAAAATCAATCCCAACCTTCCTTTTGTGGTATTTAACCTTATGGTAAAATTTCAAAAAGATCCATTCACTTAAACTAAAGTTAGAGTGCGAAAACCAATGTGTATTCGGACGACGACGCCGGACGACGACGACGACGCCAAAGTCATACCAATATACGACCACAAAAATTTTTTTGCGGTCGTATAAAAAAATAGGTCGAGTACAGGTCGAGAATGGGTTAAGACTGTTTCAGACTGGTCGAGTAATAGTTCAGACTATTTTCAATGGCAAAGATGAGGGTCAAGTACAAATCAGTACAGTCGGGTACGGTTAAGACTGGGGTCGAGTACTGTCGAGTAAAATTCAGACCAATTCAGACTGGTCGAGTAAAAATCAGTACAGTCGAGTACAGATATAGGCCATTTCAGACTTTTACTGGTTTGTAGTGATATAAAATAAGTATATATCTTGTTGTATGTGAAATATGATAATGTAAACAAATTAGTATACCCTGCTATAGTACTATTAATAACCGAATATGACCTTGATATACAGACCTTGATATGATATCATAGTTTGTGCAATAAACCATACGTTCTTGTTGTATTCGGTTTCAAAAACGACTTATATCTCGTCCGACCACCAGCAATCCAAAATGGATCCCATAGAATCCAAGAGAATTACGAAGAATTTGTTGTTTATCAAAGACAATATCACTCAACTTGAGAAAATTATGGATAAACTTATAGAAGATGATTGTCTTGGAATGGATGAAAGAGCTGATATTTTGTCTGCTAAGAGGACAGATAAACAATGCCACAAACTGCTTGATATTTTACTAAAGCGAGGCGGGAATTCTTACACCTCCTTCCTAGAGGCATTAGAAGTATCGGGGAATCATCACGTGGCAACGCGAATACAACATAAAGAGCTGCAGAAAGGTAATGACACGCGGTGTTTCTCTCCCTTTTTCTTGGTTCCCTAACTGATGTCGAAAGAACTTTTTTAATATCTCTTACCAGTAAAAATAAAAGAAGAATGTGTCTGAGGACGTTCAAGCTTGCTTATAATATGTGAAAATACTTTTTGAATAGACTGAAGGACGGACGGTTTAAATGATTCATCTTGTTTGTAAATTTCTAGCTTGTAAAACTACTTTCCAGTGCAAAAGCTAAGGTAACAACTCCCTGAAGTAAATACTGAGCCAAGGCTCCGTGTTGAAGACCGTACTTTGACCTATAATGGTTTACTTTTATAAATTTTGACTTGGATGGAGAGTTGTCTCATTGGCACTCATACCACATCTTCTTATATCTATTAAAATGTTTATGCTGAAAGCCGTACGGTTACCAATAGTTGCTTAAATCCATGTCATTTAGACTTGGGTGGGGTAATTGTCTCATTGCCGATCATACCACATTTCCTTATTTTATATAATTGATTTGTAACTTCGGCCTAATAAACTTTGAGTAACAAGCGATTCTAATGAGGATTATACAAGGATAATGTGCACGTTGTGCCAAAGAATATTTGATGCCTTTTTATCACGTTGGTAAAAGTTTAACGTTCAGTGACAGATATATCATACATATTAAGGACGAAAAGGAACTAACACTTGAAATCAAAAGTGTGGTTCTGCAAAAGGGGTATACCGGCGGGAATAAGGACTCCCCTCTATAGCATGGTTTTGCTGCCTGATTACAGAAGTCCATTACTATACATAAACAAACCTTTCTTGTCGATTAGAAAATAATGCGAGGTATCTAGTTTTAAGAGATACCGGGATACAACTATGTATTAAAGAAAGAACGCTTATATTGCTGTTCTTTGTCTTTTATCATTTCTACAAGCTCATCAATGTTTAGATAACTTTAGATGAGATCAAAAATATCATCAGCGGTGGTTTATGAAGAAATATATTCTTTAAACATGCCAAATGTAAAATTTCTATTAAAATTCCGTAATTTAGTTTGTCCTCAAAAGTAAAGAATCCTAATAGAAAACAAAATAAGTCAACATTTCTGTTATAATTATAATGGTCTATTTTGATAAAGACAATTGTAATGTAGCCGTATTTTCTTTGTTTTAAAGGTTTAAATTAATAGACTTATACTAATGAAACCTATCAATTAAACAATAATGTGTATTGGATCGTGCCTGCGTAAAACCATTGTCTGACGATAATAGCTTGTAGTCAGTTTTCATTGTAAATGAGTTTAAATAGACTTCTTTGTTTACACAATAATTGTTAATCACCCACCGACAACAAAAATAATGCATTTAAAATAGGTTTATTTTATTTTACATTGCAATAGATAAATATCTTCTTGCAGACGATACAAGCTCTCAGCACCTGAAAGAAGACACATTTACAGTTGATGCAAAGGTATAGATGGCGTTAGATAAGATTTTCAATTAACATCTATATTTAAACCAAATATAGATACGCTCTAAGGTTTGGCTGCCATGAGGGTGTTAGACTAAAATTGATTTAAAATCTACGTCTATAAATCAAATATAGATACAGATCTGTACACACACATTTTGATTCTGCTAGGAAGCATTTATTTAAGGCGAAATAGTCACATAAATATAGATAGATAAAACAGTTAAGTCAAGTCATAGTCAACAGCCTGAAATAGAAATAATCTGATTGAAATACGAACGTGCACTTATAAAATCAGATGAATTCATGTACACACACACACACACACGAGAATAATTCTCTTTCAATTTTTCAATGTAAAAACAAGTAACGTTATTAAAAGTATCCATTGGTATTAAAGAGCTATAATGTATAGGAAGCTGTGTAAAAACCTGTATGACAAAATGTGAAACGAATCAACTTTTATTTAACGTGCAGATAGCGTACGTGGTAATCACCTTACACATGCATCGAAAGAAAGTGGCAGACAATACAAAGGGGACATTAAAAATCAAAGTCGAAGAAAACTGACAACGCCATGACATAAAACAACAACGACAAGACAAAAAAGTCCACAAAACACCCCTTATAAAACTAAAGACTGGTCAACACGAACCCAACACGGTGATCCCATGAGCTCCGGAAGGGTTAGCAGATTCTTCTTCACAGCAACAGCCTACTCGATGCTCCTTTAAAATTTGTTGAGAAGTTATATCTAGTGGTTAGGCATCAAGCAAAGGCGGATTAAATCTAACTCTACGATATCACCGAATTCGTAAACCATCGGTCATATAAATTGTCTAACCCTAAATCTTGACAGGAAATCGAAACACGTTCTTTCAGGGAAAAGGATAGGCAAAACTGTTACCCGTAGAAACAACACGGACATTGCAAAATTAAAAGCATATAATATAGCACTGAAAACTAAAGCAAAAGCAACACGAAATCCTTATGCACAAAACTATAGATGATCTCAGGTGGGTTAGTAGATCCTCGCGTCCCCTTTCCGAACGAACGTGGCTGCGTATTTATACACCCCAAACAGGCAAACAAAAAGCATAGTTGTAGTATGGGTTTTACAGCCGGACGCGGTCGCCAGTAGTCCAAGGATGACCATATTTCTAAATGTATAGCCTTGTCTACCTTTTATAAATTTGTTTTAGGTCGAGTTTGAAGAAGCTGAGGTACTCCAGTTGTATGAAGAAAAAGAAATGTATTTAGAAAGAGTCAAGGAACTGGAAGTCAGCTGTACACTTTTACAGAATGAAAATTTTCTGAAAGAGCACAAAATTGAAAAGCTGAAACAGGACGTCCGACTTTTAAAGCAAAACGTCCAACAAAAGTATGACGAGATAGACAATGTAGACGAGACATGCGTAGAACATCTAAGGAAGTTGGATGAAGTTGAAGCTCAATGTAAAACACTAGAGGAAGAAAATGCACATTTACAAATAGTTCAAAGAAACTTACAGGAAACGATCAGCGATAAAGAGGTTACCATGACAAACCTGAACCAAGAGAGAGAGTTCTATAAGAAGCAGATGAACATCCTACAGGGTGAACTGAGGCAGTTACAGAATGAAAGTGCAGAAAAAGATGCCAGGATTCAAACACTGAACGAGCAAATACGAGAACTTAAAATTGATCTTCAGAACACCCGTCAAGCCATGGACAAAATGGCGACTGACTCACGCGTTGCTATGGAACAATTGAAAACCGATCATGGCAATCGATTCAATCAGTTAGACAATAAGCTCGATTGTGTCTTAAAAATGCTGAAATGTTCAAAGATGGGAGATGGAAACCTTTTAAAATCAGCAGATGTAAACAAGAATACAAGGAAACAAAGCATAGGGTCACATAAATCTGAGAATCGTTCGAGTACTAATGCTTCCAAAACTAAACCTGGTACAAATCGTAATCAAAAGATTTAAGCATTTGCATGTACTTTATATGAGATTACGTGTGAGCGTGTACTATATATGTTTTATTTATTATAATACTTGATGACTGATGCTAATAAACTGATTTTTTTCTAAACTTGCCACATGACATTAATTGTATCGTTAACGGATATTATATATTTGTCATATCAGTTGCTAAAAAGCCTTTTCTGTTAGTTTACTGTTCCCCGTCTACGACAGGGTTTTCCAGTATGTCCGTCCGTCCGTCAGTATATTTGTCCGTGCAATATCAGATTAAAGTTTTGTTTAAATTTCTGCGCATGTTCAATATCATGGGATCTTTAGAACATGACAATGCAATAGTTTGATCGGAACATTGTGTCTTATATCTTATAGATACATATTCGTGTTTTTCTACTTTTTTGCACGATTTACTCGTCAATATAAGTAAGAAGATGTGGTACATGTGTGAGTGCCAATGAGACAATTCTACATCCAAGTCACAATGTATAAAAAGTAAACAATTATAGGTCAAAGTACGACCTTAGCTCACACCGAACAGCAAGCTATAAAGGGCCCCAAAATGACTAGTGTAAAACAATTCAAGCCGGAAAACCAACGGTCTAATCTATATAAAAACGAGAAACGAGAAACACTTATGAACCACACCAACAAACGACAACCACTGAAAAACATGCTCCTGACTTAGGACATGTCTAGAACATTGGTTTAGAATTGCTTGACTGGATACTGCTGCATGTGAGAAATAATTCGTCTAACTCTTCGATCTACCAATAATCACTCTGTTTATGGATGTTATAAATGCCACTACTGGAGCAGAAATGCTTATACTTCCGAAACAATTAAGTTTGATCCTGGTGATTAGTGGGGCTCTTAATGCTCAATCACTAGTATTTAGTGGGGCTCTTAATGCTCAATCTCTGGTGTTTAGTGGGGCTCTTAATGCCCAATCTCTGGTGTTTAGTGGGCTCTGAATGCTCAATCTCTAGTGTAAAGTGGGGCTCTTAATGCTCAATCTCTGGTGTTTAGTGGGGGTCTAAATGCTCAATCTCTGGTGTTTAGTGGGGCTCTTAATGCTCAATCTGTAGTGGTTAGTAGGGCTCTTAATGCTCAATTTCTGGTGTTTAGAGGGGCTCTTAATGCTCAATCTCTAGTGTTGAGTGGGGCTCTTAATACTCAATCTCTAGTGTTCAGTGGGCTTTTAAAGCTCAATCTCTAGTGTTTAGTGTGGCTCTTAATGCCCAATCTCTAGTGTTTAGTGGGGCTCTTAATGCTCAATCTCTGGTGTTTAGTGGGGCTCTTAATGCTCAATCTCTGGTGTTTAGTGGGCTCTTAATGCTCAATCTCAAGTGTTTAGTGAGGCTCTTAATGCTCAATCTCTGGTGTTGAGTGGGTTTCTAAATGCTCAATCTCTGGTTTTGAGTGGGGCTCTTAATGCTCAATCTCTGGTGTTTAGTGGGTTTCTTAATGCTCAATCTCTGGAGTTTAGTGGGCTCTTAATGCTCAATCTCTGGTGTTTAGTGGGCTCTTAATGCTCAATCTCTAGTGTTTAGTGAGGCTCTTAATGCTCAGTGTCTGGTGTTGATAGGGTTTCTTAATGCTCAATCTCTGGTTTTGAGTGGGGCTCTTAATGTTCAATCTCTGGTGTTGTTGTTTTTTCATTTTTTGTTTGTTTTTCTTAGACTGATGACTTTTGATTGCCCCTTTATTGATCTCCTGATCAAATGTTTTATATTCAAATAATTTGAGAGTTTCCCATAGCAAAGCTTGGACCTTGCAATACATATCAAAATGTGGAGCGGGTATAATTGATTGATTGGTTTTACCTAATGTTCAGTGGCAAACATTTCATTCATAAGGACGAGATGGGTATGATTTTGTGAGCTCTTATCATACCGTTGTTTTTCAAAACCCCTTTAGTCTTTAGATATACCTTGTATCTAAGCACTTTTAACGCCTCATCGTTTTCGCCTTGTGCTTTCTTAGAGAAAATTTAAAATCCAGACCGGAAGCACTTAAATCTCGATAAAATTGTGGTCCCTTTTTATTCCTTTCAAACGACAATAATTTAATACATATTTTCGCCTTGGTTTGATATAGATTTGATATGAAATCATTGATTTTCCGAAAGTGTGATTTTAAAACTGATAATCCCACAGTCCACCAATAAACTGTCATACAAGATAGCCTTAGACAACTATGGGTGATAACACAGATAACGAGGAGGAAGGGTGCATTGTTTTATGTCATTGTAATGCAATCTAACGATAAAGTCAAATACCTCACGAATGATTAACTCCTCTTAATAACAAGGTAAGTTGTTTTCTTGATTTATAAGCTAATAAATAGGGAACTTGTTCTATAATTGTCAATTAAATAGTCCTTTTTGTGGTTTAATAAGTTGACTGGTTTCCGGTAAATCTTGTTAAAGGTTTTTCAAGGATAAAAACAATTACTTACTTACTTACTTACTGCCCTTGTACGCAATTGGCGTGTAGGGCAGTAACGAAGATTTTCCACTTTTGTCGGTGATAAAAACAATCACGAGTGATAAATATACATATACTACACAAAGGTTTGAACTGTAAACAATATGGAAGAAAAAAAAAAGAGCAGTGCCGTTTGTTGCATGGATTTTTTTAAATGTCCGGGTGATTATGAATCAGACGCCAACGAAACAGCAATCTAACAACAAATTTAATCGAGCGAAGACATACAAATGTATACAAGTCAGCATCATGACAGTCTTCAATTCTGGTCTTTAAGAAATGTTTGGAATTAGACTAAGAGCATTTTGTTTTTCTGGCCTTTTTTAGCTTACAATGCGTTTTGGTTTTGATCATTGTTAAAGGTCGTTAGGAGACCTATAGTTGTGCAAATCATTTTCAATTGGTTTATGTGGAATAATTGTCTTATTCCATTCATACGACATCCCCTTGATTTTATTTAACATGTACAGCACACTTTCAAATCAATCTTTTATTACTACTTTGGGATTTTCGGGTCTATCTCCAGGCGCATGGGGAAGAAACCCCTATTTTTTCTAAATATTTTTTTTGTGTTTTTCACGTGGGAAATAATAGTAGAGGGTCAAAATTTATAAATTACCGATATTGTACTATCCCATAGAATATTGCAAGAGCACACCAAATTAGAGACAATAAGTTAAAATAGTTCAGAATATATACTACTAAAAATTATAACACACAACAAACAAATATTTATAAAAAGGGGAGTCTAATTTTCAAGTGCCTGTTGTCCATCTTTATGAAAAGTGTCCTAACAATCAATGGCATGTATTAATGTTTAAATGACCAGATATTATTTCATTTATCAAAAGGAATTTAAAAAAAACAAACGCAGAATTTAGACTTACGTTGTCATTTTAACAGTAACCAGACTTCCTATTGGTTCCAAGAAACAATATTTATATCTGAAAATAGATAACATAGAAAAATTATCTGATTTACAACTTCTTCAAGACTGACAGATAACTGACATTCACTACTAAACAACCTCCTTTTCTAGAGAGCAGTTTATATAACTGGTAGTTTTGATAGAAAATTATATTACACATTCCTCTGGACTTCATATTTTGTTATGCACGTATCAAACACTTTTTGGATCTGTTAGACACCTACTTCTTGTTTGCCGATACTTTTATTATTTCAATATGATGAATGAACTAAATACTTTCATCACATATGTCTTAAAGACTATTGAATAGAATGACTTCATATTTGCTCAGTACTTTGATAGTGTAACTTCTGAGTGCATTTGGGGTTTTTCAGACACCTTATTCCTGTTTTCCTTTGTTTTTCTCATGCTTTGAATTACATGTGGGGTTATGCTTAGAAAGAAAACACATGCAACTTAGTTTTTAATTAACTAATAATTCCGCCTTGGATTCACTGTAACCGTTTAAAATATCATAGTATAGGTACTATTAAATAGTGCCCCGACACTGGATTGGATAACATAAGTAATGAGACCTGACCAATAGAAATGTTTTATAGAAAATATTAAGCCTTGGAAATTAATACAAAAATGTGATTTCATTGGTTACTAAAAACGGTGTCCAATCAGCACGCGCTATTCGGGTTTTAAATATTAAATTTCTACGGATTAAAAATCACTTTTACAATTTGAATAAAACATAAGGTATTATATTGGTACGCCTCTTTTGTTTCACCAGGTTTGTAAAGTGATAGTTTTTGTTCCATTATATAATTTTAGTAAGTTAAACGTGTTTAGTGCAATTGCTGTCACAAGTCAGAGCAAGCTTATAAAACTACACTAGTAAGAAAATTTTTGAATTATGCCTAATTGAATAATAAAGTATCTTGTATATGCTAGAACTCTTTGTTTGGCGATGTATTTTAATGATTATAAAGTTTGCTTCGTTTTACATGATGGCTTGATGTCTTTGGAAGAATTTTAATTGAAAACGGTTACATTAGAAATGGAAATAATTGCCATAGTTAGAAGTAAAGGAATTTTGACATACCATCACTGCTGTTTCAGAGACATATTTATATATCCTTGCAAAATTAGTGTACATTTTGATCTACACTCAGTCTGTTAGAGTAAAGTAATCGGTGTTAAATTTTTGAGGTCTCTGTTCGCTTACTTAAAAATGTCTGTAACAATTATGGTATATAACGGTCAATTACTAGTTATTCTAATGCATGATATTATTTTTACAACTTCTTTGAATTTTAGCAGTTTATCGAATTTAACAGAGTATAAGCAGAACTGTAAATTTTAAAGTGTTTATGTGTCTGTTCCAAGTCAGGAGCATGTAATTCGGTGGTTGCCGTTGGTTCATGTCTGTCATAAATGTTTTTAGTAAATTTTATTGGTATTAATCAGGCCGTTGATTTTCTCATTTGAAGTATTTTACATTTGTCATTTCGGGGCCTTTTATAGTTTTTTATGCGGTATAGGTTTTGTTCATTGTTGAAGGCCGTAAGATGGCCTATAATTGCGTTTATTATTGTCAATTATATCACATCTCCTTATTTTTATATTTATGGTAATGATATTTAATATTTCAGGACGTGGCTATTACTACTAAGTTTATCAATGATTTTCATTATTTTAGGATGTCACTATTACTACAAAATAAATCAATGAATTCTATTATTTCAGGATGTGGCTATTACTACTGAACACAGTGTTTGTATCGATTGGTCCTCTGTTTAGCATACCAACTTCTCCTACAAGTCTTACACGTACGTTTATATGGCATTGTATATGCATGCTATTTTTAATACTATCGAATTCAGATAAAAAAAAGACTAAAAAAAAACCTTCAAGCTGACAGCTGTTCACCGAAGAGAAAAAACATCTTTAAAGTACATGTATTACCAAATGGAGTTGTTTTCTATGTTCTGATATTATTTTCAGCATCGGAATTGCTTGTGTGTAAAAATAAGACTCGACATCATTTAGCGAAGTGAACGATATATGTTATTAAAACAAACAGTTTTTGAATAGTTTAACATTTGTCATTTCGGGGCCTTTAATAGCTTACTGTGTCGTATGGGGTCATTATTGAAGGCCGTACGGTGACCTATAGTTGTTAACGTCTATGTCATTAGGTTTCGGTTGAGAGTTGTCTCATTGGTAATCATACCACATATTATTTGTTATATAAGAAAATCTAGCGAGTATATCTTTGCAGTACATAAATAAGAGAGACAGCAGTAGTTTACCGATTTTCTAAACAAACACAGAATTTACAAACCAAGAGATGAATCATTAGGGAATCATTTTCAAACGGAAAGAGACCGAGTGCATGCGTCGAGGTTTAAGGCTATGCATGCATCAACGGCCATAAATAAAAAAAATATCACAATTATAGGAACAGACACAATCAGATCAGACGACTATTCTGATGTCACAAGATCGAAGCCCATGAAAACAGGTCTCGTGATTTAGACACAAACACATAGTATATATCGAGTTTTTTTTCTATGAGCACATTCATGTATTCTTCTGAAGTTTCAGTCTCATTGAAATCTCGTTCTGGAATTATTTCCAAAACATGTGATACAAGTGGAAAATATCAATGAATTTTAAAAATGTTATAATTAAACTTAACTCTGTGAATAAATTGTGTATTTTTACAATGAGTAGTTTTTGAGTAATCAATTTTTTAAATTTTACGACCAATCAAGTCAGTCTTTTTAGCCAAAATGTTTAGAAAATGGGTGAGGGGTACAAAAAAAGATTTTACCAGAATCATGTATATCCTATATCATTTTTTTCTTTTCAAATTTCTTAGATATGTATTTTTTTCAATCATTTATTACAAAAAAGTTGAACTAATATGCATTTTGTTCCTAAGACTGAGAAAAATCACAAATTTACAAAATTGACAGCATGGTAAATTTGACACAAAAAAGCATCAAAATATGATAAAACTTTCTTATATTAACACCTACCTATTATAGGTTTTTTTAGTTATATTTATTCAGATTGGTCCACTTCATCTTTATTGAAACTATGAAAATTGTGGAACTGTGATTTTTTTCACGATAATAGCCCAAAAATAGGTAAAAATTGATGAAAAATGGGAAAATCATCAAAATTGGGTACTTTCAAAGGGCCGTAGCAAAAAAAGAAGTGCACCACCATAAGATTTTTTCTTCACCAATTATTTTTTTACAGTCATATAAACCCAAAAATCAGGTTAAGAAAAAAAGTTTAATTCTAGAAATTTTTGGCTCCTCAGACGTGTACATCCTAAATGGAGTTTGTATGATCATGCGCGTTCACGTCAAATTTAAGTTTCTTACAATACAAAACAACAAAAAAAAAATGACCAAATACCCGTATATGATTATTCATTATAGATATATAATTGCAGACTGTGAGAAGATAGCAGACCATGCTCCTGGAATTATATCAAAGGTAACCCTCTTTGATATAAAACTATCGACATACAATACAGCTGTTGGTACCGTCGCCAAAGTAAGTTGTCTGGATGATGCATTGGTTGTGAATGGGGCCGATACTCTAACATGTCTTCCAAATGGCCGATGGAGCAGTGCCAAACCAAAATGTAGAGGCAAGTTTTAAAAAAACGGAACACATCTGGAAACATTGACACCACATTTAAACGAACACCAAACCAGATAAAAAACAAAGCGTGAAAAAATAAAAAATACACAAAATATACGAAACATCCTTTCATCTGCCCCGTCCTCTTTCCTGAAAAAAGAAAAGAAGAAAGAGACGGTTCTCCTGTATTTCTTCTTTATTACAAACCCTTTCTTAATAACGCTAATTGTCTTTTCATGTAATCTCAACAAGTGACTGGGCAATTGAAATATGGTCACTTCGGTTTTCTTCTGAGCGGCAGTAAAACCCTTGCAAAAGTGGGACGTCCGTTTGGTTGTGCGGGAATTTAAAGATTTTAAAATAAAAATATATCATTCCAGAATCACATCTGTACGAAAGCCTATTAGAGTCACAAAAAAAATATATATCTCTCGTAATTACGAGATAAATATCGCGTAATTACGAGAAAACTATCGCGTATTTACGAGATAATCATTTTTTATCTCGTAATTACGAGATAATTATCGCGTAATTACGAGAAAACCACCGCGTAATTATCGCGTAATTACGAGATAAATATCGCGTAATTACGAGATAAATATCGCGTAATTACGAGAAAACTATCTAGTAATTACGAGATAAAATTACATATATATATAGTCGTAAGAAGGTTGTTATAGAAAGTAAAAGATGAATTTCCAAAATAAGTACATTCAACTTTACTTTAAAGTTGGATTTAGAATTTAAATATATACATCCAAAGCAATAAAAGAGATTACACGAAACATCTAAAATTAAAGGAATAAAGAAAGTTGTCACTGGTTTTTATTATGAACGTGATTACATTTTAAGATATCATTCTAAGATATTTGGCAGAAATGCATTTGATCTTTAATTCGTTCTTTAAGTCGTTCACCAACTTCAGAGTTCAATCCTGACAAACCAATCTATAAAGAAAAACGCGGTACAAATGTCATTTAATGTGGAAAATCAGGATCGCTTTTTAACAGACGAAATGGAAATGCCTGTGCTCGAGAGAGAAACAACACAACAACAGTAGCTATTAAGAGTTTTTTTTCGACAAACATTTTAATTTCCTTTGAACTAGATATGTTTTGCTCGAAGATCACAATCGCATTCATGGTATATCCAATTTTTATTTTTTTTTGTGTTAATTCATAAGCATAATTTCATTTGTTTGTTTGTGTCTTGCACACTAATATTCATTTAAAAAATGGTAATATTGTTTTGTTTATATTTCTTTATAATATTCACTGTCACTGCCTTTCATGTACATTAATGTAGTAAAAACTACCAAGACCGCATGTGTACGGGCGGAATATATAGGCACTTAGAAAAAAAGCGAGACATGGAGAACGTCGCTGACATAACAACCCTACAAAAATATCATATTACTGTCACCGTAGCTAATTATCAGAAGAGTACAGCTATATACTAGTACTAAACTATATGTTGTGTGTACTATATTTACATTCATTCATTCATTCATTCATTCATTCATTCATTCATTCATTTTCATTCATTCATTCATTCATTCATTCATTCATTCATTCATTCATTCATTCATTCATTCATTCATTCATTCAATGACGGACAGTTAGAAAAAGACTTAGGCTATGTTCTACTCTGCACGAATTTATAATGCATGCAACCCCGCCACTTTTTCTAGTATTTCTATCCAATTCACAGTTCATATTAAAAGGAAACTTCAAGTTAACATTTGAAATAAATGTTTATTATAATTATGTAATTTCAGTGTGAATAAATGGTTTGCAACTTTATTATTGTCACTATAATCAACGCCCTAAACTCTGATACAATCCCCATTTTACTGTTTCTTCGTGTGGATAGTAAAATGGGGGTTGTATAAGAGTTGGTAAAATCACTCGAAACTAGATAAGACATGCGCAGAAGTGATAGATATGTAGTATAATGATATTTAATCAACAACAAAAAAAAATCCCAAAACAAAATCGTATCCTATACCCAAGCGCCTGTGGATGAAACACCGAATTTGAATTTTGTCGGGCACTTATCAACTCATGTATTTTTAACGACGATTAAAGTGTATCTCCCTTAAGTTTTCATTGCAAACTTTTCACACTTTTCCTAAAAAAAATGTATTTCATGGGTTTTGTACCTTTTCGCACGGAGCGGCTCGTATGATCAAATTAACACTGTTTTCATGATTATCATGCTTTTTGATGAACCAATACTGCAGGGTATGAGAAATTTCTAATATTATTCCATTACCATTATTTTCATCTGGTATAAAGGATGGAACAGATTTTCTGACGCTTTTTATATGTTCGAGATAACGTTGGATAAAATGGTAGTCTGAGAGCCAAGCCAAACAGACACAATACATATACACGCAATGATTTACGCTTCGAAAGGTTTATCCAAAAATAATTATCTCGTAATTACGAGATAAAAAAATGCTTATTTCGTAATTACGCGATAGTTTTCTCGTAATTACGCGATGATTATCTCGTAATTACGAGATAAAAATCTTATCTCGTAATTACGTGATAGTTTTCTCGTAATTACGCGATAGTTTTCTCGTAATTACGAGATATTTATCTCGTAATTACGAGATAATTTTTTTTGTTGTGACACTAATAGGCTTTCGTACATCTGCGTGCTCAACGTAATAAAATAAATACTGCGTACGATACGACGTTCATTCTGAAAACGTCGTGTGAAAGGGTTAACTTAAATGCTTTTTCAATTTTCTACAGAGCCAGAGATAGTAAAGCCAAAAGACTACAAGCTGATTATTGGACTCCCTGTAGGAGGGGCATGTCTAATACTTGTCGTCATTCTTACTGGTATCTTAATCAGGAAACGACTACAATCCAAACAATTACCTTCGGAGCAAACAGACGCAAGGTACCTATTCACAGTCCAAACATCGAATAGGGGTCTATAAAAATGGAGACTCAAAAAGTTTTGAGTATGAATAAGAGTATTTATTATTCTAATTAACGATCATTGATGGGCAAATTCATGAGTCGAATACAAACTGAAATCCATTCCAAAAAAAAAAACGAAAAACGACAAACAACAGTACAAAAAAAAAAAAACGACATCAAAACTGAAGACTGAGCCACACAAGCCCCATAAAAAATCAACATGGCATTCACATTAAATCAATATTAAGAACAAGCAGTACAAGTAAGTAATATTAGAGGATAAGAATTACCAAAAAAAAAGAAAACATTGCATATGAACAACGACGTTAGAACTAATATAGAAATAAGGAGATGTGTTATGATTGCCAATGAGACAACCATCCACCCCAGTTCAAATACGTGAATGTAAGCAGTTAAAGCAACTATACGGCCTTCAACAATGAGAAAAACCCATACCGTATAGTCGGCTATAAAAGGCCCCGACATGAAAAATATGAAACAATTCAATTGAGAAAACTAACGGCCTAACTTATAACAAAACAATTTTACGAAAAACAAATATGACAGACATGAACCAACGACAACCGCTGAACTACAGGCTGCTGACTCGGGACAGGCACACAAAGAATGTGGTGGGGTTCAACATGAAAGTGAGCGCTCAACTATCCCCTAACCCCGGATAGTGGTGTTACAGCACAACATAAGAACAAACTATAAAAATCAACTGAAAATGACTTAAAATTACCTCATGTGTCAATAAAGTTTTTAACACGGTAGAGGGAAGAATCTTTTTTTCTATCGCGGACCACAATCTAAAATATTTAAGATAGAAGACTTAAGTACCGATATATTACTGACACATCTGCACTTAAAAGATAAATCTAAGATATTGAGGTCAAATCTACCTACAATGTATGTGTGTGACGTATCATATCAACTGATATCAATGAAAGAATGTTTTATCCTTTTACCATGTTGACATTATCGACAAAGATTAATATCTAAACTACATGTAAATATTGGGGTCTAATTTGCAGTGGAAGAATTATTTCCCTGTTAGTATCACTTGGTGTACTTCCGAAATAAATAAGTGTTGAGATGTTTAAAAACAATTAATTACTATATTCAATATCCCATTTTATATTGTATCATGAAATTGAAATGCTATTTTTGGTATTTTACTCATTATTTTGGTTTTTTATTGTTGTTTTTTTTTCTTTTTTTTTTTTCTTTTTTTTGGGGGGGGGGGGGGGGGGGTATTTTTTTTCACTTTTTGTTGTTGCAAATATTCTGATTGCAATTGCATCCTCTAAAAAGGATATATCTCAAGTATATTTGAAAACCTCTCCATTGATCTATCGATGGTCTCTTATGGTACATTTGAAATAAAAGCGTTCCAGAACGATACAACGAAAATATTTGCCACCGTCATTTGATGTTACAAGCTATGTACATGTATGTATAAGTGCATATTTTGTCAAATAACTCTGCTTGTTTTTGTTCATTTTCATTTAGACTGAATGCAGGCAATAGACAGAAAATGTACTCAGCAGAAATGAAAACTAGATACATGGAACAAGAAACAAATCTCGAAAATCAACCGTAAGTAAAACTTTAATGTGTTTTATCAACGATCATAATTTATCCTTTTAGAAATTTACAACCTCTTTTAATTTTGTATTGTGCATGTTAAGACGACATACACACATGTATTATAAAATCAAAACGGGAACTTTTAATAACTGGCGTGAATGTAAACTTAGGCAAAATGAGAGATATACCAAGAAGATCAATACAAACTGACAAAAGCATGGATAAAGCAAAACACGACAAAACGACATAAACAATTACAAAACTCTTCACAGAAAACTAAAGACTGCAGGTGCTCCAGAAGGTTGAGCAGTTTCTACTCCATTTCACGTGACATCAGCTGTGTTAAAATATACAATGTTAATGAAAGAAAACGTATTAACAGCATTTTTTTTTTTAAATTTATAAACGTTTTATTTTAAGATATCCTTTTCAATTGTATTGACAGACATGTTTATAAAGTATGGTCACAAGATAGATCGGTGAGAAAGTTTATAACTGCATTCGATTTGAAAGACTTGAAACAAAAAGGTAATGTATGATTATTCAGGTACAATGGTATAGATATATTTTTCCCCACAGAACCCTCAACTCTCACTTTTATTTCATCTAGTCTACAGAGAAAGGGTCAAGTGCCCTCTGAATTTAAATGCCTGGCATTTCCTTTATTTAATCCCTTTAATAATTACAATGTTTATTTAAAGCTTGTACATGTATAAGTTTTGGATTTTCAAATATTTTGAATATGAAAAATTCACTGAAGAGACATTAATTGTCGAAATGCACATCAGGTACAGTAAATTGGAACCATTAATGAAATTACAAGAATCTGATATGTATGAAGTATATGGGTACTACATGTATCAGACTAAGTCAGACTGAAAATTTGTTAAGTAAATATTTTGACCAATTCTTTTCTTTAATAATTGTATATATGTTCAATGTTTTAATCAACTCAATTCATTCAAATCATGTTTAGTATTGTATGTTTTGTCTTGTAGTCATAATTAAACGAATTATTCTGCTTTAACACGGACACTGTGATTAGTAAATAAAATTATTTGTATTTGTATCAACATTTATACATGTCTTTTATACTAACAATCTTTCAATGGTAATAAGCCAAAATATTCACCAGTTGATCTGTTTCAAGCGTTGAATTCAAATTGGAACTAGAAAAAAACCTTTTTTCCAATGTTTATTTTGAAGCGATAAAGCCCTTTCTTTAAGGGCAGTAACAACTTTCTGACTTTTGACCCTGTCGCCGTCAGAGTGAAACAGATACATGGTGAAATTTGTCCCACCCTCTTTTCTTTTCTTTGATGAATAAGTATTATAATATTTTTTGATTGTTATAAATGTCTAAAATGGAGATTGGTGCATGTCAAACGTGTACATCTATCAAATAACTTTCCCGAAGTTTATATAAACAAATACGGTTCCGTTATTTTGTATAATGTCAGATCATTGAAATTACATTTCCCAAATTTGATTTTTTTAACAATTCAGCATATCATCATTATTCGTCATTTTCATGGATTATACAAGAACATGTGATGCATAAACACGGATATGGTTTTGATCCTGGAAGGACATGTTTTATTTAAATAGTTGGCTTTACTAGTATACTAGTATACTAGTATATTTTAGTCTTGTATCATTTTTAATTTTAGTTTCTTGTGTATAATTTGGAGTTTAGTATGACGTCCATTATCACTGTCAGCTGAAGGACGCCTCCGGGTGCGGGAGTTTCTCGCTGCATTGAAGACCCATTGGTGGCCTTCGGCTGTTGTCTGCTCTATGGTCGGGTTGTTGTCTCTTTGACACATTCCCCATTTCCATTCTCAATTTTATCTTTTAGTAACAGCGAGTACTCTTTATTTCGGTGCATAGTGTCTATTGTTTTTGTTAGTTGTTTTTCTGTCTCATAGAGCTAGTTTTGGTTAAGCCAATTGCAACTGATTTTTATAGTTTTCTTTTATGGTGTACTGTTACACCACTGTCCTAGGTAGGTGGAGTGTTGAGCGCTCACATATATGTTTAACCTCGCCACATTCTTTACTGATGCGCCTGTCATAATAACATCTGTATGTACAATACTTGTTTGTGTAAGGGGAGAGCATGATTTTCATTTAAAAATCACTTTGTCTCCTACGGGACTTGAATCGGGGACCTCTGTGATACAAGGCAGTGCTCTAATCAACTGAGCTAAAGAAGTACTTCCTTCGCTCAAACCGCTTACGGCTGATTAACATGTTTAACCCCGCTCACAAACATGTTTAACCCCGCTACATTCTTGATGTACCTGTCCCAAGTCAGGAACCTTTAGTTCAGTGGTTGTCGTTGGTTCATGTCCGTCACTTTTGTATTTCGTAAATTTTTTTATTATAAATTAGGCCGTTAGTTTTCTCAACTGAATTGTTTCATATTTTTCATGTCGGGGCCATTTATAGCCAACTATACGGTATTGTTGTTTTCTCTTGCATCCACTTCATTTGAACTTTGGTGGATAGTTGTCTCATTGGCAATCATACCACATATCCTTATTATTTAATTGTTATAAATTAGGCCTTTAGTTTTTATGGTATGACTTGTTTGATATTTTTCATGTCGGGGCATTTTATAGACGACTTTACGGAATGGAACTTTTTCATTGTTGAAGGCTGTGTGGTGGTCTATAACTGTTTACAGCCACTTCATTTAAACTCTGATGGATAGTTGTCTCATTGGTAAACTCTGATGGATAGTTGTCTCATTGGTAAACTCTGATGGATAGTTGTCTCATTGGTAAACTCTGATGGATAGTTGTCTCATTGGTAAACTCTGATGGATAGTTGTCTCATTGGTAAACTCTGATGAATAGTTGTCTCATTGGTAATTCTACCACATCTCCTATTTTTTATATTGTATTCAGTATTTGTGATCACTACGAAATCAAATATCCACGAAAATGCAACTTTTCCCGAATCCACAAAAATCAATACCACGAAAATAAATGAATCAGTATTATAAAGTTTAAACATTTTCGTGATTTTATTTTACAGGCAGTAAAGTTTTTGAATTAACACATGTGTATATAGTTCTAGAGGAGGATGGGACAGAAATAGACGATAATACAGCGTTAGAGGCATGTAAAGACAAAACATTACAGGTCCTATCGAAACATCAGTCATGGACTAGAAACTCTTCCTCCTCAAACGGCAGTGAAGTTGTGCTAAATTTAAGAGGTGGTGACACTCCAAGTACTTGTGGGACCATTCGAAGCCTCCGTTTATAATTTATCAGCCTGAAACTGTGCGTTATTGTGACAAAAAAATAAACAGAGTAGCTAATAACGATACATGTACATAATGACTGTCTCTTTCTTAAATACATGTATGCAACCATTTTAAAATGTAACACGGAGTAATAAGATACCGACGGTTTCTGTATTTCGATCCATAATTATTTTGTTCAACTAAAAGACAAGCCTGTTACCCGAAGTTAGAGACTGGGGATTATGGTGTAGGTTTAATTCTTTAAACTATTTTTTTTAAAACAAATTACCTAAATTAACAATTAAATGGAACCAGGTGGTCGATTTGATAGTCCCATAACAATTTCTTTTAAGCTCGGTCCCATTACTTGCCTTAAAGCCTGTCTCAATAGTTCCATATTTTGCCTTGAAGCCTGACTCATTAGTGCCATATTTCGCCCTGAAGCCTGTCTCAATAGTGCCATATTTCGCCCTGAAGCCTGGCTCAATATTGCCATATTTCTCTCTGAAGCCTGGCTTAATGGTATCATTTTTTGCATTGGAGTCTGACTCTATAGTGCCATATTTCGCACTGAAACATGGCTCCATAGTGCCATATTTCTCCCTGAAGCCTGACTCAATAGTGCCATATTTCGCCCTGAAGCCTGTCTCAATAGTGCCATATTTCTCCCTGAAGCCTGGCTCATTAGTGACATATTTCGTCCTGAAGCCTGACTCAATATTGCCATATTTCTCCCTGAAGCCTTGCTCATTAGTGCCATATTTCGCCCTGAAGCCTGGCTCAATAGTGACATTTCTCGCCCATACGGTCAATGAGTCAATGATATCAAAACTGTTGTCCCGAACCTTGATTTTATAGTCCTATATCTATTGCAATAATTTTTGTCCTGAAGCTCGATTCAATAGTCTCATAACTGTAACCTCAAGCTAAACTCAGTAGTCTAATAAACTTCTGAAGATCAGTCCAATAGTCCCATAGCATACCCTGTGGCAGTCACACGTTTAGAAATGCCACCTTCGTTCACTATGTTATGTTATAAATAAAATTATATAAGGAGGTACAATAAATGTCATTTATTCCCAGAACCCCAAAAAAGGTCATTACCCAACAAATATGTGTGTATAAAAAATGTTATAGCAGTGTATACTTTTGTAAATATCGGTATTTCAAGGTCGTTTTAGTTGGTTTGAAATATTTAGCGGTCTTTTAGACAGTTTTGTGTACAATATCAATTTTGAGCTGTATGAAGTCAGTGTTTTTATTTTATACTATATCAAGTAGTTGATAATGTATATTATCTTACCTCCTATACATTTCTAGGAATATGATTGGTTAAAAGCGTCCGCGTGGAGACCGTGTATATTCTATATTAGGTTAGAAGGGAGGCGGGGCTTGTTTCATACACGCGGTTAGTAGTGGTGTTACGTCCCTTTATAAAAACAAAACGGTACTGAGAAAAAATCTTAAAGGTTTCAACAGACGAAGAAATTGATGATGAAGATTGAAATAAAAATTATAAAACACATTTAAACCTAACAAGTTGTTATTGTTGGCATCTGTTTTTGTAGGATCAATGGAAGTAGTTTCTTAATGCTAACGGTATTGAAGACTTGCTCATTTTGATAGATCACTAGTTTAAATTTCACACGTTAAGATAGTCGGTAAGATAAATTCGTTACATAGTGTGCTAGTGACGTAATACGGTTTCTCTAATTCTTCGTCAATTTATCCCTTTCTGCACCCATTGTATAAAAAAATTTAATCAACTTGTGGTTCGTTTGATCTCAGTTCTTCATTGGTTAAAATCCGATTATGACGTCGAATTTTCTTGCTTTCCTCTGAATTTCCTATTGTGACGGCATGAAAAAAGGCGACCATGCCTGATGACGTCACATAGAAAAAACACTTTTTGCAGATCATTCGAAAAGAAGGAATAAATTTGCCTGCGTATTGATTGAAAATCATTAGAGAAACATATTCAACCACCAAATCTCGTGTAATACGATATTTATCCACTCTCGACAGTTAAATTTTAAATATTTAAAACGCTCGGCGAGCCTCGCGTTTTAAGTTTGAAAATTTAACTGTCTCGAGTGGATAAATATCGTATCACACTCGATGCAGTGGTACAATCTATATATATATATGGGGTCAGTAAATTTCATATTGGGATTCGAGCTTCGCGCTCACCCCATATGGAATTTACTGACCCCATATTTACCGTATTAGGTCACTTGCACACTATGTAACTAATAATGGCTTGCTTTTATTGGATATACGTAGATTGTAAGAACCTAGCCAAATGGAGTGCCTGACAGGCATGTGTAAGGGGAGTTAACCTGTATATTGTTTGTTTTTTGTAATATGTAGATTAATTTATATTTTAAAATAATTATATATCAGCTGGTCTGAATATAAGTACTGTTATTACATTATAATTTATGCAAAAAATTTATTGTGTAAATATCTCATAATTTTATGTACTTTTTATTTTTGAATATATATAAAATTAGGAAAATATCTTGAACCTTTTCTATTTATATATATGAGACTGTGAGTTGATGGGAGATATTTGACAGCTTCCTTTTAATTCATTCACAACTGGTTTTTACATTATACTGTTGTGCTGTTACATCATTATCCAAGGTTATATGAGGGTTTAGCACATACCTGCCAAACTTTAGCACCCCGACATTTTTTAAGCCCACCACATTCTTTATGTTCTTTTCCAAAGCCATCAGACTGTACTCCATTGGTGGATGTTGCTGGCACTCTATTGTAATTGTTTTCCATTCAGTGTTGTCTTTCTAAATCAGGACCTTAAGAAGTTAAGATTCACTTTTGAATTGTGCCATATTTTGTCAACCTGGCACCTTTTATAATTCCATTGTGACATTTACTTATTAACAACCATTGTCTTTTAATCTTTGTTTGTTAAATGTCACATTGGAAACCTTTCCACAGGTCCTTATTTTTATAATACTCGACACGATAAATTAGGTGACTAAATTTCTGTTTTATACTTATTTGTAAGTGTACAAACTATAGAGGCCCCAAAGAGCTTGTGTCGCTCACCTGGGTCTTGCAACAATGGTCACTTTTTGGTAAAAATCTTCAGGAAAGGGAAATAACCCAAAGAGTTAACTAACGATTTCAGTCATGTTGAAATACTTGTAGATCTTGACCATGCTGTTTAAATCTTCCATCTACATTTGTATTTATTATACTTTTCACAATAATAGGCTAAATAAACCTAAACAAAAATGGTAAAAATCATCTTAAAAGGGCATATACTCCATTAACAAGCTGGTTAAAGATTTCACTCATGATGAATTATTGGTAGATATTATCTTGCTGATCATATTTGTTATTTATAGTGTATATCAGTCTACACAATAAAAGGTGAAAATGCAAAAAATTGGGAAAAGTCGTCATTAAAGGGCAATAACTTCATTAAGTAGTCATCTAACGATTTCAACCATGTTGACTTATTTCTAGCTCTTGTCTTGCTGATGTTTTTTTTTTTAAATTCTATTTTTAGTCTAATGGGCCAGTTTGATTGGAAAGCCGGGTCATTGGACACATTTTTGAACTAGATACCCTAATAATGATTGTGGCCAAGTTTGAATAAATTTGGCTCTGTAGTTTCAGAGGATGATTATTGTAAAAGTTAATGATGATGACGACAATGATGGAAGTCGGAGGCCAAGTGATAAGAACGGTTAACATTAAGAACAGCTCACTTGGCCTTTAGCCAGGTGAGCGAGAAATGAGGTTGCAACTCCATAAAAAGAAATTTACATTCAGTCATTTATGGGTGTTCTGCTTTTGTAAAACTCTTTTGGTTTTTATCTTATCATGGGTCTTATAATCAAAATCCTTGTTTTTATACTTTTAAGGTGGTACCCAACACCTTGACTAATATTAATTTGGCTCGTTTAATTTTCATAAAATTTTGACAAAATGTTTACTTTGACCCTTTGACAAAAATACAAATATTTCAAAAAATTTCAACCAACCACTTTATCAGAAAAATTTCATTGGTTATATAGCAGTTTGACAAACACTAATTTTGATCATTGAGAAGCTTAATATTTCCTTAACAATACAACGTGATTAAAACGTCTAACTGATTTTTACAGAGTTATCTCCCTGTAGTGTTAGGTACCACCTTAACATGTTCAACTGCACACAAGATGCTGTCTATAAAAAACACAGTACTGTCCAATAATATCACAGCAGTTCATTTACAATTAAACCAATGGCTTGCTTGAATATATCATCAACTTTAAACATTAAGGGTTGGTCTGAATGGTCAGTTCAGAACATCAGACACTGTATATTAAAATGATAGCACTGTCCAATATGATCATAACAGTTCATTAACAATTACACCAATGGCTTTCTGGAAATGATCAACAACTTTTGATGGTTGAAGGCTGATCCTAATGGTCAGTTAATAACAACTGATACTGTATATCAAATCATGATACTGTCCAATATGATCACATCAGTTCATAAACAATTACTTCAACAGCTTGCTGGAAATCATCAACAACTTTAAATGGTTTAGGGTTGATCTTGTTTTCATCTCCAATTCTATACTTTCCTGAATAAAAAGTGAAGCATTTTGTTTCATACATGGAAATCATTTACTCATTTTTTAAAACAAGATACCCCAAGGAAGAATGTGGCCAAATTTGGTTCCAACTGGCTCAGTATAGTAATTTCAGACATTTTTGCATGCATTTATTATTGCGATTTGTAAAGAACTGACATAAATGCAAGATTAGTTATTGTGATTTCCGTAAAAGCTGCCTACAGATAATTGTAATCAAAATGCGAATTTTTGTAAATAATTAATAATAATTAATTAATAAAAACCTCCCAATAATTTCAGAATTTAAAAGTAATTTCAGAGAATATATTTCAAAAGATAAAGAACTACAGACCATGACATTAAAATTAAATGAACACCAAGTGTTAGAAAAAGCTCATGCTGTTTCTTTGGGTCAGATGGAAAGCAAAGAAACAGCCTTTTTTTTATTGCTGTTCATTATCTTGAAGTGGCAGTGAGGCATTCAAAATTGATAAATCACACACTACTCAATGCATGTTTTGGACGGACCCCAGCAGAAAAGCTTGAACATACTCCTTTGCTTAATGTCAGTCATGCTACATATAATGTATGTGAACTGAAGAGCAGAGAGAACTTATTTTTATTCCACTCTCCACATTTTTGCTGTCAAATGTAAATATTTCTTTTTGGCATTTGAAATATTTCAAAATAACACTGGGAATTAAGCAAACTACATGTACTTAAAAGTTTAATAATACTTTGAAAAACTTGAAATTTAATGTGATGTCATAAATTTTATTTTAATAAAAATGTTAATGCTTACCAAAATATACGTCAGCAGTGAAAAAACTTTTTCTTTGCTCTTTTTTAATAAAATTTTTTATGACTTCAAAAAAAGGACTACAGCTGTGAAAAGATTTACATCTGGATATTTATACATCAAAATTGGAGCACCAGTGGTTAGTATTACCTGTTCTCACCAGAATTCCTAGCATACCAGTCTTTTGAGCACCATCAATATCATCCCTCACATCCTACAAATATTTAATGAATCTTTAATAATTTGATTTTTTCTTAAAAGTCACTGTTTTCTTTAAATATTTTTTTTTCTTTTTTCTTCAGTTTTTTTTTAAAGTCTGTGATATAATATGTGTATTTGAGTTAGCCCCAGAGCAATGTTATTTTACTAAAAGTATGAGCAAGTTTATGTTAAGGTGGTTGTCCCTATCACATTTTCTCTATTTACAGCAGTTTTCAAAATAATAGACAGAAATTGCATGTTACCCTAATGTTCTATTTTTAGCAATGTTGGCCATATTGGTTGGCATGAGGGGTCATCAGAAAAGTTTTCTAAACTAGATATCCCAATGATGATTGTGGTCAAGTTTGGTTAAATTTGGTTTAGGTGTTCCGGAGAAGAAGATTTATGTAAAAAGTAGCAGACGACGGACGACTGACACCAAGTAATAAGAATGGCTCGACCAGGTAAGCTAAAAACAGAAACAAACAAACAAACAAGAACAAAAACAAAGAACAAAACAAAACTCAACACAGATCTTCCTTTAACTGATGCATTTAAAACCAACATTTGTTCCTGTAAAATGTCTATTCATTACTCTGGTACCCTGTCCACCTACATCTTGTTTCACACTTCTCTGTGTCCCTGTTTACTTACATCTCCAATCATAACACATTCTTCTGGCCTACAGTTGAATTCTTCCACAGATGACAAGAAGAAACTAGCTTGAGGTTTACCTACAATGTGTGCTGTTGTATCCGTAGCATATTCTAAAGCTGTTACAAATGGACCTGTAAAGGTATAAAAAGTAGTATCAATAGCTAGAGTTATGGTAATGTAAATTCAGAAATTTTTTGATGTTTTTATTATTGCGAATATTGCGTGCAACAAGATGAGTCACAACAATAATAAAAGAAGAATGTGTCTGAGGACAGGAATGCCCCCACTTAAAGTTCAAACAAACGAAAATGGAACAGACAGATGGAAAGACTGAAAGCCTGAAGGACGGGAAGATGGATGTCAAGAGTAACCTTAATGCTCCTGTTCCCTACAGTGGGGGCATAAAAACTTAGATTTTAAATTTTGATTTCATTTTTGTGTACAGCATTTTCTGTAATGACAATAAACTCTCATTTGTGTTAATTGTTTAACAATTGCAATAATAAATCCACACAATGATTTCTTTATTTACAATAATTGTTTGTTATAAATGTAGCTGTAGTTATAATCTTCTTAAGATTTTACCATGAATACATAATATAAGGTTGTCAGTACAAAATGTAATAAAAATAGACAAAAGATGATTAACAAGTTTGTTTTTTTTTTGCTTTTTCTATGTTTAATATGGAGCTTTCCTGTCTTTAATATATGAGCTGCGACCGATAGAAATCGACCTTATTCAAGTGCACATATACATGTACAAGTATAAGACTTTGATTGGTTTTGGAACGTTCAAATACGAAATAAAAGATGACTTTTGGTCTGTTTTGTATGGTTCTTATAACAACTTGATTTTCAAATAGTTACAGAATTTGCATAGATATTTTTTCAACAAGAAATATGATAACAGATGTATTGATGTTCATTTGCATAAAGGTAGATTTCTATCTGACGCAGTTCATATTCAATAAAAACTGAGAACTAACAAATATCCTAATTCAGTAAGTTGAAAATAGTTGTTGTTACACCCTTGTAAATGGTATTTTTTTTATCCTATTCAAAGAACCCCCAAGGGTGACTGGGGAATAGAAATATGATCACTTTGGTCTGCTTCAGATTGGCAGTTAAACCGTTGCCAAAGTGGGGCCTCTGTTTGGCTGTTCCGGATGTATCAAGTACGCAGCCACTTCCTGTCAGAATGGGGACGTTAAATTTGAAGCCTTGTGTAGAGAGTGCCTCACCCTCTGCATGTTAAGTAACCTTGCAACAACTCTACCAGGGGTCCATTACGATGGCCTGTTGCAAGCCAAATTTCTCTCCCTATCAAATATACCCTCATTTTCTAGTGGCAGTCAAAATTTCCCCGACCTTATCTCGGACAGCCTCAATTGCAAGACCTACCTATTGTATTTATTGTTAATTTGTTCTCGTCCTGAACATGCATGAAATATTTGCCACTGGAAGTTAAGCAACCAACAATCAATCAATCAATCCTATTCAAAAAAACACATTTAAGATACTAGTAACCTTTTTGTATTGGAATTCTATCAACTCTAGCTTGGAATTGCTGAAATTTCTGAAACACATTATTTATGACATATTTTTTTTTTATTTCCTTAGATGCAATTCAGCTGATTTTTTTTTATTCATACCATAGTTATGATAGTATAATTTTTTTCATAAAAGATACTCTGCTAATTCATCTTCAATAACTTAATGAACTGTAAAATTAAACTAGTATGTAGAAAAGTATTAATTGTAAAGTTCATATCATTTGTTATACCAATACAGCAACAAATCCAGAGGGCATAGGAACCCAATGTGCCCCCTTTTTATGCACTTATTTTGTGTTTTTAGTTCATATTTTTTATCTTTTAGCTTTGTTTTAATACCTGGTCCAAGAGCTAATTCATCTGTTTTTTTATAATATCTGGCTTTGTGGATAGCTATCAAAGGACACCCATCTTGGATTAATCTGTAAATGTGTAAAATCAATTAAATTATTCATTTAAATACCGGTATTCATTTTATTCCAATGTCAAAATGGAAAGTCCTGTTTTACTCCTTTTTCCATTCATGGGATAATTAGAAATAAGAAGATGTGGTATGAGTGCCAATGAGACAACTATCCATCCAAGTCACAATGTGTAAAAAGTAAACAATTTTAGGTCATAGTACGGCCTTCAACACGGAGCCTTGGCTCACACCGAACAGCAAGCTATAAAGGGCCCCAAAATGACTAATGTAAAACAATTCAAACAGGAAGACCAACAGTCTAATCTATATAAATAAACTGTTAACACAGAGATATGTCTCGTCTTTTTGATAATGCAAATGTTGAAATTAAAATAGCAATACTTTAACATGTAAGTTATGCAATTATTCAAAGTCAATGTACCATGACTTGAAGGTACATTGCAAAACAATCTCCATGGAAATGAGATGTGCCAATGCTAATACAACTGCATACCAAATACCATAGACTTATCACAAGTCGTTCCCTTTCAACAAACCTTAGAACACAAACATTGACTTGTAAACTATGTAAAAGTTTCAAAGTCAATGAACCATGATGAGGGGGTGGGGCTATATAATCTCCATGGAAACCAGACTTGCAAATGCCAATAAATTTGCATACCAAATATCATTGACTTAACATTAGCGGTTCATCTTAAACTGATCTAATCACAAACTAATACATGTAAACTAAGCAAAAGTTTAAAAGTCAATAACCATGACTGAGGAAGCGGGGCCAAAAATTCTCCATGGTAATGAGATGTGCTAATGCTTATTCAATTGCATACCAATAAACATTGGCCTACCACTAAGGCTTCCCCTTGAACTGACCTAATCACAAACTAATACATGTAAACTAAGCAAAAGTTTCAAAGTCAAAAGGCCATGACTAAGGGGGCAGAGCCAAATAATCTCCATGGAAATGAGATATGCTAATGCTTATATACAACTGCATACCAAATATCATTGACTTACCACTAGTGGTTCCCCATAAACTGACCTAATCACAAACTAATACATGTAAACTAAGCAAAAGTTTTAAAGTCAATAGACCATGACCGAGGGGGCAGGGCCAAATAATCGCCATGGAAATGAGATGTGCCAGTGCTAATACAACTGCATACCAAATATCATTGACCAACCACTAGTGGTTCACCTTAAAATAGACCTAATCACAAACAAATACATTGTTGATGCCGCCGCCGTCACCAACGCCTACGCCAGAAACAGCATACCTATGTTTTGCTTTTTGACTCTGTCAAGGCGAGACAAAAACAAGAAACGAGAAACACTTAAGAACCACATCAACACACCACAACTTAGTTTTGGTTTTTAACCTTATTTGTATCTAATTAAATTTAAACATCTGTAAACTACTGATGCCTCAAATTAATAACACTTTAAAAATAAATAATGGTTAAAGTTTTTGAATCACATAGGTGGATCCAGGGGGGCTGGGGGCCCAGGCCCCCCCCCCCCTTTTGTTTGAAAAATTTGGTTGATTATATAGGGAATCACTGAAGCATGACTGGAGCGGGCCACCCTTAGGTCAGTCAGCGGGTCCCCTCTTATGAAAAGTTCTGGATCCGCCACTGGAATCCACTGCATAAATTAAGTGTTTTTTTAACTTTAACTAGTTAAACTGTGAGCTATTGGTCACTAATAATACCCTTGCTTTAAGTAATCTAAACAGGAAGTTGATGAATGATGGATCTGAAAAACACATCACAAGGTATAACATGTTTGGTGGTGTTACATTTTATAAAGTCTATCCAAATAATGTTTGCAAAGGCTTCCACTGAAGCTGGTAATAGGGGCTGTCTTGAACTTACAGTGAGGTGAGAGTTTTTTTGCTCCATGTTAAAGGCCCATTGTGACTTTGAGATGAAGAACAGCAATAAAAGTGCTGTTCCTTTGCTTTTTGTGTGTTTTTGCTGTGCATGTACTGATTTTGTGTCATGGATGGAAACCACATATCCTTTGTTTTTCTATTACATAAAAAAGCTTGATACCAAATTTCAGGAAGCTCTAATTTGTAGATTCTGGGAAAAATGGGATGAACATTTCATAAGATGGATTGAAAGAAAGAACTAGGGACAGACAAACAGAGATAAACCCTTGTTCCCTCTTTTTTTAGGGGATATAATAAAATGTTGTGCTAGAAAAGGTTCACAGGAATTTTGATAGAAAATTCAGACATTTAATCTGTAAATGTAGTTTAATAAATGTCCTATTGAAATGTTTGTACATCACTCCTGATAAATATTCAGATATAAAAAAAAAACAAATCTTAAAATACTTCCTTTCCTGATACTGGAGATACTTAGTACATTATATGTAATCATAATTTGAACTTCATAAATTACTGTAAGACAAAAGGAAAATTAAATAAAAAAACTCCCTTTGAGTGATAAATTCTACTTGAGATACACGAACAACTTTGATAATAAATATGACCGCCATCTAAATAAAAAAATGTTCAAGTGAAAGAGATTGATTAAGGTAACATTATCAATAGTTAATTATCTGCATTTATACAGAGTTATTTAAAACTTAATGATAAGTATGTTCTATTAAAAACAGTTCTGTCAAATTAGAACTGTACATTGGTAACAAAATTAATCAACACATAAATTCTATAAGTTCTTAAATAAAAAACACAACTTTTTTATGAAATAAAGACAATTTAGAGCTTGACAGATTGCATAGACCCCTGTCTATTATTGTAGACCCTCTGTATGTCTATTATTGTAGACCCTCTGTATGTCTATTATTGTAGACCCTCTGTATGTCTTTGGTGTTATTCCATTCTCTTTGACACATTCTTAGTATTTCCTTTCATTCATATATTTTTGTGTTTCTTGACATACAAGTAATATGCAGTGAACATCAAATGGGCTTTGCTAAAATTAAAAAACTGTACTAAATGTTAATTATGGTCAATCAAATGCATTTCTAAAATCTGGACAAATGTTTAAAGAACCTGTTCAGGTCAAATATAGTATTTTTCTCAGTGGCAGATCCAGAACTTTTCATAAGGGGGGGCCCGCTGACTGACTTAAGGGGGGGGCCCGGTCCAGTCATGCTTCAGTGATTCCCTATATAATCTACCAAATTTTTCCCACAAAAGGGGGGCTCGGGCCCCCCAGGCCCCCCCCCCCTTGGATCCGCCTATGTTTCTGTAACCTACCTGAAGGCTGTATTCATTGTCTTATAGTTAAATTTGTCTGGTGCCAGACCAATTAACACAGCATTTGGATTATCTGTTTGTATTCCTGGAATATATCAATTCATAAAATCTACTTGATGTAAGGGAGATAATTCACATTTTATATGATTCCGTTAGACCTGAGGAAATTAGATTTTTTTTCTCTTTAATCCTTTTCTCTTTTTTTAATGTTACCATTTGGTGAGCTTATTTTATTTTTTATTCTCATAACATGTGATTTAAATCTAATATATGTTTAAAGTCTAATATGAGACATGTAATATTAAACTTAAAAAAATTTACTTTAACAAGTAACTTTAAATTTTAAAATTACCTAAACAAGTTATGTTGAAAACGAGGCTATTTCTAATATTACTTATATAAGTTACTTTTGTAAATTTCATTTACATAGGTGTCCATTCATGCAGATTTTACTAGCTTGACAATTTTTCTCACACACCCGTACGAAATTATAAGGTGTATTACGCCTGGAAATAAGGCGTAAACCAGGCGTAAGTGGTAGTTACGTGTCTAGATCAAGGCATTAGGGAGCAGGAAACGTAAATTTGTAGTCCTTATGGGCGTAGAAAAAAGTGGTAAACCTGGCGTAAATTGAAATAAGCAAGGTGTAAATTTTCTTACGGGCGTAAAACTGTTGGTATGGCGTAAATCAAAATACCCATAATGCTTTGTTTAAAGGATCATGGGATTTTTTTTCAAAATTTGGCTCTTTGATTTTAGTTTGCAAGAGTTGGACTTTATGGCAGCTTCATATATTCAGGGATAATTAGCTAATGTTTTGTGCTTTTTGGAAGAATTTGAAATTGGAATTATGGAATCAAATTGATTAATGAAAATTGTGAAATAAAAGGAAAGTAGTATACATGGTAAATAATAATTATGTGAGTAACTAAGTTATTAGGTTTGAAGTTCTAACAGTTATTTTGAAATCCCAAAATCTTTATCCTTGGATGATACATTAAAATCTTTTACATTATAATAAGTTAAATATCAGTATTATCATTTATATTTTAGTTCAAAGGACATTAATTTTCAAACAAAACTTAGTTTAAATGCTAGTTTTATTTCAAGAAAAATTAATTGTCATAATTCTTATTTAAACTTAAACTTATTTGAGCCAGTTTTGTCTAAAATGTATTTATTTATATATTAGCTTCTTCAATGGTTAATATTTCAAGTTTTATGTCAAACAATGAGAAATTAAAGCAATAGTACAGAAGTTTGTATCAAATACACAAAAGTACACAGCTAGGGTAATACACTGATTTAAAATAAGTGTAGTATTATGTAAGGATATTACGCCTGGTTTATTTATTGACCAGGCGTACTCATTTGCATGTGACACCTGGTTTTCTGTGGACCAGGCGTACTCATTTAAATATTACGCCTAATTTTACGCCTGGTTTCCGCCTCAGTTACGCTTGGTTTCCGCCTGGTTTCCGCCTGGACATACATTCCTTAAACACTGCACTGACACCCAGATAAAGTATGATTTTTACGCCTGGTTTCCGTGTCATATACGGGCGTCACATTTCGTACAGGCGATGATGATGATGATGATGATCTGGTTATTTTTCCATGAAGTATAAAAACTAATCCTCATGAAACCCTATAATTGCCTTTCAGACACACTTTCGTTTAATATTGACACTTCTGGGTCAAAGATTGGTCTTTTGGGACTATCAAAATATCATTTTCCTTGGAAATTTTGAAGGTAGTCGGATATAAATAGATGGAAACCTGTGATTTAATTGAGACTTGAAAAAATGAAAAGAACATGTTATAAAGTTCATGCCTCCGAAGCACATTTCTGGATTTACCTTCATCAGGAACGCTCTAAGCAGAATATTTGAAAGCCAAGGATGTATAAGAGCCGAAACAGTTGAAGAGCTATATTACCAAAAAGGATCTAAAAAAATAGCCAAGCTATTTATAAATTGAAACCCAAAACAATTACATATGAGCTGCATTGGACAGAAATCGACCTTATGCATGCATGTGCACCTTACATGTACATGTATAAAATTTTGCTTGATTTTGGAACATTCAAATACGGAATAAAAGATGAATTTTTGAAGGGTTCTTTCAACAACTCAATTTTTAAAAAGTTACAGATTTTCTGTAGAGATTATTCAACCGCAAAAAGATTAACATATGTATTGATATATGCATTTGCATAAGGTCGATTTCTATCCCACGCAGCTCATATGTTTCTTATATAATCATACTAATAATTATAAACTATAAATTACAAAGATGTATAAAATAAGTTATAAAGGAATATAATTATTTATGCATTTTTTTAAAAGTAACCTTTTATCTGTATACTCCTTTCAATTTTAATTAATTCTTAATTTTATGTAATAAAATAATGCAAAGATTCATAAAACCTTCATGTAGTCCATACATCTATTGAAATTTAAGATAAATCTATTGAGTATTTTTTTTAAAAAGAATAATTGATTTTTAGTTTCATGTTATTAGCTTAAATCAAGCTGTTGTACTGCTTCAGGGTCTGTTTTCAGATGCCTTTGATAACTTTCTATTTAGTTTTTCTTTTCCTCATTCTTGAAGGCCATAACGTCACTTGAAGACCATAACTTCGCCTTGAATCAAGGCCATAACATGATTTGAAGGCCATAACGTCACTTGAAGACCATAACTTTGCCTTGAATTAAGGCCACAACATGATTTGAAGGCCATAACATGAAATGAAGGCCATAATGTGACTTGAAGGCCATAAGATCACTTGAAGGCCATATTGTCACTTGAAGGCCATATTGTCACTTGAAGTCCATAACGTGACTTGAATGCCATAACGTTACTTGGATATGTGTTTGTTATTCTATGTGCATGTAAAACATGTTAAATCTAAAGTCAGGCTATCTGGGCCATGAGTTTGTTTTATTATGATGTGTATTCCAGAATTGATGTGTTATTTAGTCACTTGTTCAGTATTTATTTCTCTAATTCCTACCCAATTATACTTTTCCGACAGGTTAATTATAATTTTTAATCAACGTGTGGTTTGTGTGATCACAGTACTTCATTGGTCAAAATTCAATTTTGATGTCAAATTCTATTTATTCCTCTAAACTTCCTATTGTGACATCAAAAAAAGAAAAGAATCATTGACTGATGACGTCACAAATAAAGAGCAATTCATTGAAAAAGAAAGATAAAGTTTATCTCCATGTATCTAAAACCATAAGAGAAACAGATTCAACCACAAAAACTCATACAATACAATATTTCTCCACTATCGACAGTCAAATCTAAAATATTTAAAAACCTAAGCAAGTCTCCCAATTTAAATATGAAAAATCACAAGTGAAGAGGTAGAATCTAAATATACATATTTAAATTCTCTAATGCTGTCAATTGAGAAATTATTGTGAGGTTTTTATTTATGCTAATAATGTGACTCCTTGAGTATTGTAATAATAAGAAATAGCATTCTCTGTATGTAGCTTTTCCTTAAATCACAACAATTAAACTCACATTTTTGTTAATTTTTTCAAAAATTGCAATAATAAATGCATGCAATAATTTCTGACTTTACAGTAAGTTATTCTTTGACTGTTTTTGTTTTTGCTTTTTCAAAGGAGTCAGGCCATAAAAAAGAATATGTTTGTTTGCCCTAACCCTACCTACCCAGAAAATATCTGCCTACTCAAAATCTTTTATTGTCTTGGTGTGAAATTTTTTTTTTTAATCAGATAGGCATGAAGACTAAACAAAATCTGACACTTCAATTTCTCTTTGCCGAAAAAAAAAGAAAATGCCTACCTACCCACTGTCTCTACCTTTGGGTAGGGTTTGGGCAAACCAAAATATTTTTAGGTGTGGCCTCAGGTGTTAATGGTCCATTTGGTCTGTTGTACTGTGCAGTATTTTTGGTGATTCCTGTTGTTCCATTTTATGTATTTATCATTTGGAAATTTAATTTGTCTAAGACTTATAATAAACCATATTTACCCTCAAAATCTTCCAATGCTCTATCATCCACCATCATGAATGGTCTAAGATTTCTCTGCTCTATAACATGTCTGGCTGCTGTCAGTGAGGTAAATATCTCACTTGGTTTGATGTCAAACCCTATACCAGTAAGTCTGTTCAGTAAACATTTCTGTGATTCCTTAGTTGTGTTTGTAACAAATTTAATATTTACATTTTGTCTTCTCAACCTGTAAAAAGTTAACTGTTAAAAACTAAACCATTTTGTCCATGACATGTTTTATTTACATCTGGTTTTTTTATGATAAACAGCTCTTTTAACAAAGTACAAATCTAAGCTGGAAAATGCTTGACAACTAATTTCGTGCTTTTTAAAGGTAGATAATTGATTGAATTTTATTACTTCTAGATGTAAACTTTGTTTAACTTGTGTTGTTTGTTTGTTGGCTCATTAACAATTACCTTGCATCTTTTCAGGGGGCCTTGATGGCCGAGTGGTCTAAGTAGTTCAATTACAATACCAAGCCTGTCAACACTAGGTTGTGAGTTTTAACCTTGCATTAGGCAGGTGCGTTAATTGACTAGGATTGTCAGTTTTCCTGAATGAAGGTTGGTGGTTCTCATCCCTGGGGACTCCAGCTTCCTCCACCAATAAAAACTGACTGCCATGCTATAGCCAATAGTGCTGAAATATGCTTTAAACACCAACAATCAATCAATCAATTATTTAATCTATGTTCAGCATCTTCAATAAAATCTATATGTATTATTCTACATGTATTTTTCTGATATTTTTCTGTCTTATTTACCATGTTTATACTTACAATCCTTTTAATTGCAAATTAATTACTATCCTGATCACATTCAAGCATGATTGTAGTGTAAAAAAGGAGGTCAGGGTTGGACAAAAGAATATTTGGTAACAGCATATTGGCTAACCAGAGGGAATGCTATGATTTTAACATATCTATTGATTTACCTTTAACACCATAAATAAAACTTTTGACATTGGTAGTTATATAAGTACCTCTTTTTCTACTTCAGATATACAGTTACAACTTCATATCATTGACGATTATGAACTGTTGCAAGCATGAAGTAAGTTTTTTAAAAATAATCAAATAAGCACATTTAAGTTTTAAATTTCCTTTTTAAACAACCAAAAATTCAGGTTTTGTAAATTATAAGAACAAAAAAGATGTGGTATATGATTGCCAATGAGACAACTATCCACCCAAGTTCAGTGAAGTGGATGTAAGCAATTATAGGTAACCGTACGGCCTTCAACATTGAAAAAAACCCATACCATATAGTTGGATATAAAAGGCCCCGACATGAAAAACAATTCAATTGAGAAAACTAATGACCTAATTTATAACAAAACAATTTACGAAAAATAAGTATGACAGACCTAAACTAACGACAACCAATGAACTACAGGCTCCTGACTTGGGAGAGGCACATTAAAGAGTGTGCCAGGGTTAAACAATTGTTTGTGAGCGCTCAACCCTCCCTTTAACCTGAGACAGTGGTGTTACAGCACGTCATAAGAACAATTAAACTATAAAAATTAGTTGAAAATGGCTTAACTCATTAGATCAATACAAAACAGAAAAACTTCTAACAAATACACAGACCGAACATGGAAAGGTATTTTTACATCCCTAACAATCAAAGACACAAAGTACGGGTTCCGGTAAAGTGAGAATACTCAAAATGTAAATAACTGCTAAAACACTGACTGGACCAGTAATCCTTGAACAATTACTGGACCAAAAGACCACTGAGGTAAAAAAAAAAAAAAAAACCTTCGGGGCCTCTGCTAGTGGTAACATGTTCCATTGTATTATTGCTGTGGAAAAAATGACGATTTGTTACCTCATGAGAGATTTTTTTGAACCAGAAATGTCCTCATCATCAACGTGAATTGTTCCACTCAGATCAATTAGAACAGTCTTTATCTTATTTGCTGACATCGTCGTGATACAATTGCATTTCTTTAACGTCCCAAATTTGATGCATTTCTTCAACAACAACAACATGTGAACATTCTGTCCTTGTCAAAATGAAAGTGAAAGTAGAGTATAAAACATGTCGTAACAATGACGGAACGATCAATGATTTTCCGTGTTTTAACCTGTTGAACAAGCTATCGCTCAAACTTGGGACATAATATATATATTGTTAGTACTATTCCCATTCTTCTTCTTTAAGTTTCTAGCTTTTAGCGATCCTTTATCAAATGAAGATTATTCGCCGGGGCGTCGACTTTAAAATTTGATTTATGATTTACAAGATATAAGGCAGAAAAAAAATGAACTGAATGGGACAATTATACTAACTGTTTCTATAACTGTTAGTATAATAGTCCCAGAAAGAAACAAAATCATAAATCAAAATAATATGTACATTTAAAAAAAATAACATTTAGATAAGACTATATATACATTGATAACAATAACAGTTATCATGGTAAAACATAGGGACTAGAGCAGATTCTGGGATGATCATACTCTTGAAACCCTGTACTGTACTGCATGGAACCATATTTTGTGGCAATAGATTCCAATGTACAACTGTACACAGATAAAATGAATATTTATAAATATCAATAGACTATTGTTTGTATTTGCCTCATGAGTGTGGATTGCTATGTCTGGTGGGATTAAAAGTAGTCCTATAATATAATTCGGGTTTCAACATTGATAGTAAAAAAAAATATCCGATAAAAAACGTTGAATGTAAATGATATGAAACTGCGAAGTCTTATATTATAGGACTAGGATTAAAAGGTTAAATGTAGATTTCGTGTATAATTTTGTATAAGACTACAGAAGTCTGCATCATGGCTTATACGCCTAATTTCAAGTGTACCAATTTAGATCTGTCATCATATATCAGTAACTGAGCTGGAGTTGTGGAAGCGGTTGCATATGAAGCGGTTTGCTCTTTTCTGTACTTTATCAATTTGTGAAATTTGTTGTTTCCCAGTTTTAGAATATGGTTTCAGAAAAGATGCTTTAAACTACTTTGAAAATATATGGACGACGAAAACTCGAATCTTAAAATATGTAAAAACCTGTTAAAATTCGAACGGGATTTCTGTAAAAGAAAACAATCTGTTTTGTACAATGTTTATTTAGTTGTTGTTGAAATTAATTTTTATTAAGAAATCTTAATTCACGATCCGGGTTTGAACTTGATTACTAAAAAGAAAACTATGTCATCTTTTCATATTTGTAGATTTCAGATATTAATAAACAGGAAATATTTTTAAGAAGAAATTTAAAACTTAAATGTGCGACAAACGCTGTTTTTGGTAATTTACATTATGTATTATGTCTTAATAGATATAAGAAGATGTGGTATGAGTGCCAATGAGACAACTCTCCATTCAAGTCAAAATTTATAAAAGTAAACCATTATAGGTCACAGCAATACTTTTAAGTGTAAAACAAGCAAAAACCGGGACAGACGAACAGCTGTTGAAACATGCTTCAGTGGCAGAAAGTTTTCCATTGTGTTGGATTTTTTGTAACATTAATTTAACCTCGGATTTCGGATAATTTACTAACACGAAAAATATTCTTTTCATTAATGACAATAAATTCCATCATATTATATTGTATTTGTTTGGTGGGTTTCGGATAACAATAAACAGGAAATATCTTTAAGCTACGTGTACTACTAAAATGTGACAATTGTAGCGAAAACTCTGTTCTGTAAAAAGATTTGTTCATTGGATTTAATTTATCAACAATAACAAAGTAAGCATGCACAAGATCATCATTCGAAATATCAGCTGGCTGAAATAAATGAATTGCTTTGGACCACAGGTTCAGCTTTCTATTCACTCAATTAAAATCGAACTGGTACCTAGTATATTATTCAAGACATATACTTGTACTATATATACTTTATTATCATAAGCTTTACAGCTCATCGGTGTAAACAAGAAATAACAGTTATAATTGCAATAAAACATGTCGACAGAGAATGTTAATTATTTTTGTAAAATACTATCCCTAATTTTAAAAGACAGGATAATAAATGTTCCCAAACAGTCAACTGCTTAAGACTTTGTAGACTAAACATCTCTACCAGTTTAAATACGCTCAATCTATACCAGTAGTATTGTTTTATAAACTTTACCCGCAAGTCTTTATATGCCGAACACACAAGAATGAAGTGGAACACATCTTCAATACATTGACCACATACTTTGCATAAACGATCCACTACAAATATTTTTAGAAAACGCCCACTTTCAATATTTAATGAATGTGAAGATAATCTTATTTTTGTAATAGCCTTCCGGTATAAAGGAGAAATATACTTGGTCAAGTAATATTTTACATCTAGGTTTGTGATGATATTTCTGTCAATAACATACTTGCTACTGATTTCCAGCAAAGAATATAGTTCTTGTGTTTTTACATCTGTTATACGCTGTTTTTTTTTAGTGAAAACGCGTTTTCAAATGTCAGTTCAGTCTGGCGTAGGCTCTTAGCCACAATTCACCTAATCCCATGTTGTGTAATTCATCCTTAATCAGTTTTTTTTTTTGTATTCGCTCAAGAACTCTCAAGATCCTCGTAGACACCTTTCAGAATACAATTATTTATGTTCAAAGTTTGAGCCAATATTTAAAAAATCTGCAGTTCAGTTTCACTATAAAGGGAATTCATCCCAGTTCAAAATACACCATAGCAATATTGGTTGATTGCTTCACTCCGAGTAATCTTTCACAAAAACATAAATAGATTTTTAAAATTTCATCTGTTTTGGAAAATCCCCAGACTTTACAGGCATGAGTTAAAACACTACCAACGTAAATATCAATCAAAGTACTGAAGTACTGAACATCGGATGACCGCACGTTCTTGTGGATGGTCACAAGCACTTGTCTCAGAAAAAAAAATCACATCTGTATACCTGAAAGTGAGGTTAATGTACAGATATATATTTTTTCTGAGACAAGTTCGTGCGTGGATAATGAATAGGGAATTCAACGTCACCGTAATAACTATAATTAATTATATTGTAGTGATACAAATCAGTATACTCTGGTTTGTTGTTAAATATTATGTATAAAATATAATTTTCATCCATTTGTATATCATTCTATTTTACTATTCTAATAATAGTGCAGTGCAAGTGCATGGTGGACACTCTTCTGTAATAATATGGTTTTTATAATAGATTGGATTTGAGCAGGCATTCATATTTTCCCGCAAAACGTTCTTGAGATATTCTTCCGCATGCATTGACACAATTTTTCTGTACGTGTGCATAGATATTATCAATGATAAAATCATTTTTTACTTATATATATATTTCTAACGACAAAACATTTTCATATTATTAATATATGTTCTAAACAAAAATATTTTATGAGTATTCATTTAAGAAATGAATTTATAACAAGCGATAAGGAAAGTTATTTTGCACTCGATAATGTCCGCGTATTTATAGATCGGTTACCAGTCAAACACGAAAATTACGAAAGTAGAAATCTCGTCGGCAACAATACATCGGAATGCCCTCACGGTCATCGCGATGTAAAAAGCGACAACACAGTATGTACGTTCAGATGACAGTTTATGTCGCAATACTAATAAATTATGATGGGAATACGCCACTGCAACAGCAACCCAACGACCAAAGTTATCAAAGGTATGCATGTAGAGGGAAATATACAGTCTTCAATAATAGACAGGTGTCCATACAGTGTGTCAAGTTCTTACTCATCCCGAGTCTATAAAGGAGTAAGCTCGGTATAAAGGAGTAAGCTCGGTATAAAGGAGTAATCTCGGTATAAAGTAGTAAGCTCGGTATAAAGGAGTAAGTTCGGCCATATTTAAGTCCATTGTTTCAAGATTCTTATAAACTGTAAAAAAAAATCCTTCCCAAATAAGCTACAAGTAGAGATTTTTGTAAATGTTGACACAATCGTCTGGATTTCAACCAAATTTAGGCCTAGGAAACATGGAGCGCAGGCCTCGATAGACAAATATTCAACTTTGATATGTAAAATGTTAAAACAAACATGTTAAAAAATCTTTCGTCTCGATGCATTTTTTTGTGATGTTCTGTTTGTTTTACTTGAGCAGCAGTATACAATAACAGCGGTGGCTACTAGTTAGCTTCATGTAGTTAACGTCTGTTTTTTTCACCAGCCCTCCCGAATTTCGATCCTCTTTGTTTAAGGTTATTGTCATCCTTTTTGTAGCAGAAATGTGAAGTTTTTATTTATTGTTTATTCTTTTACGATATATGGTATATGTAGACATAGCGATGCACAGGGGGAGGGGTTAAAATCATTAGAACTGGTTAACCGCACCACATTGTGTGCCAGCACCAGGCAGGTTAATATGTCCTAAAAATCGTAACCAAAGGCAAATGTTTTTAAATGTGATAACATAATTCGGTTGAGGAAAATACCGAGGTTAAATTTTTGAAGCAAGTTAACCTATGGGGTTAAATTTAAAGGCTCTCTAAATGATACTTTTAACATACGCATGCAGGTAAACAATTAGAATTTAGATTATTATTTTCATAGTCTAATTAAGGGCTCACGAGGGGAAACCAACAAATCGGACATTCAAAATTGATACTACTAATTTTTCTATTCTTCCATACTTTAAGCAAAATAATATTCACCTGTACAATGGTATATAAAACATATAGGCAAATTGTACAATAACTCATTGATTAATACATCGGATACGAATAATGATCTATATTAAGTATTGGATACCAACAAGTCTGTTCTACGTTTTAATGCATGAAAACGAAATTTATATAGGTTTCTATAATTACTATTGATACTAATTCTAACACTGTATTGAACAGCTTCCAATTGCTTTTGAGCATTTCCATATGCTCAAGTTCATATGTGTTTCGGATAAGCTAGATTTCTGAAATAAGAATGTTGGTAGGCAACACTTTTTTTTTAAGATAAACTCAATACAATAAGGTATTTAGACATATTTCTTTCTTTTATAAAACAGTATGTGTTAAAATTGCAATAGTTATTTAATTATCTTAGTTTGGACAAGAAGA